ATTCATGAAAAATTTCTATGCAAAACAAAAGAAGATTTTAGAGATAAACCCATATCATCCATTAATCCTGGGATTTTTGGACAAAGTTGAAAACGATAAGGCAGACGATGCAATGAAAGAGATGGTTGAAGTATTGTATTTGGCAACATTAATTCGTTCTGGATATATGCTTGAAAATACCCAAAAGTAGGCTATTGCTATTTTTTTCTTGATATTTTTCTTGAAAAATAAATAAATACAATTCATTTCTAAAATTTTCTTTGTAGGTTCGCCTCACTAATCGAAAAAGTTCTTCGACATAATTTGGGCGTGGATCCCAACGCTGAGGCCGTGATTGACATCACCCCGCTTGCAGATGATGATAAGGGGAAGGAAAAGAATTCGAAAGATTTATTTGATGAACTGGATGATGAATCAACAGATCCAACAAAACCACAATTTAATGATGAAAAAAATGATAGTGATGATAAGAAGGGTGGTAGTGATGACGAGAAAAATGATAGTGATAATAAGAAGAATGGTAGTGATGATGAGAAAAAAGATGAAAGTAAACCAAATAGAGAAGAACTTTAAATTTACAAATAGCTTTAATCAACTATTACACTTAATAGATTAATGTTAAAATAAAAGCTGAAAAATTATACCTTTGCGTCATTCATTTTTCACTGTATATCATAGTTCTTTTGTAAAAAATTATTGTGATATAAAAAAAAGTTTTTTTTTTTTAGTTAAAAAAATAGGTTTAATTGTGAATCGTGTAACTTGTTGAATGATTGATCGATCAAGCGAAGAACATGTTTAACATATAGCATATACGAGTCAACGGAAGTTGAGTTTTTCTTTTAAATCATCAACATGCCTAATAGATTAATATACTGTACTTGTAGCATAAAAAAGAAGTTGAAACCAAGAAACCTTTAATTAGTTAACATCATCATATATATACATTATTTAATCAATGAAATAAATAAATTGATTTAAAAAAAAAAAAAAAAATACGTAATTTGTTTTAGTTTTAACGTGAAATTTTTGTCAGATGGTGCACTGCATACGTCAAAAAAATAAGAATTGGTTAATATTTAATTTATTTCCACTTTGAAATGATGAATTAATGCAAGGAAGGGATCGTAAGCCGTATATTATGTTAGCACTCTGCGCCCTGTATCATTTACTTTGTACTACTGTCTTGGCATACATTTCTCATTAACCATTCTATAAGAAAAATGTACAAAAGCAAGTAAAAATCAATCAATAAATAAAAAAAAGTAACAAAACGCGGTTAAATCAAAACAGTGACGCGAAATTCTGCTAATGCTAGCTATCGACCGACTCGCCGATCATCCGTTCCAATTTTTTTTTGTAAAAATTTCAAATGTCACATAAAAGTGATAGCAATTGATGCAAAAAGAAAATTGTTTGTTCTTTGTACTTTATATTCGATTAACCATATTTAAAAATCTTTATTGACTTTTCTGGTTTATCGGTAAAGATTTATTTTTTTTTGTACTGTACATGATACACTGTATACGTAAATACTGTAAAAATATCGACAGATGTACCGCGGTGGAGAACAGTGTATTCCTAGCTTTTTTGACTGAAACAGTTTTAAATAAAAGTGTTTCAGCGATAAAGGCAATTTGTTGTTTATGCTTTGTGTGTGTGTGTGTGTATTGAATTTTGCATATGGTAAAAATAGCTACAAGTCTACGTTGAAATTTCAACCATATGGATTACCCGATAAATCGCTAATGAAAGAACAAGCACACAATACCAAATCCAATAGTTGCTTGCGGTTAATAAGTAAAGTGAATCACACATTTTCAAATAAAGTAAGTCATCTGATGAGTAAAGTTACAATGTCGTCCAGTGATATAGTAAAATAGGCAATAATATAATGAATTGACCTGTCACCAAAATTAATGTAAACAGACACGAAATAAAAGTAAAGTGCAAAACAGGTAGAAAAATAAAGAATCTCGTTTGTAAAATTAATTGAAACACGGATAATCAAAACCACGTATTCACAACATTCATGGATTTTAAAGTATAAAATGGACTAAATGAACCAACACGACTCGGACAGAAATCAAAAAATGGAAACTCAGATCAGCTGCGCCATCAAAGCAAGCAACGAACTCGTAAAGAATTTACACCGCGATGGGTTGGATCGCGGGATCATTGCAACGTTCAACACATCCATGGTGGTTAGGCAGGTAAGGGACGTTCTGTGTTAGTCACTCCTGCTACCATTAATTATTAACCTTCGTTCTACTTATCTAATACATTCTTCCAAAAGGCCTTTACCAAAGATGAAGCATCACTTCATCGTTCCCTTAACAGATTAACAAATGTCGCCAGCGGTGGTACACG